TTACATGAAAAATGGCTTTGAAGAGCCCCTTAGCATCTGTGTTATATAACAGACTTGGTGTGGCTTTAATGTTCTTCGCCACTTTTTTAGAAGCTCCTCAAAGTTTCTGGCTGATGAAACAGATAACATATATTATTAAATCACATCAGACAGGAAATATTTTATTTTTCATTTTTAATATGTAGCTTTATTTTTCACATTAATTGTATTGATGCATCTCATAAAAGAACAGAAGCAATGAATTTGTCTTCTTTTTCAGTCAATCTTTAATTCATGCCAGAGAAAAGGAAAAAATAATTAAAATAACTGCAAAAAAAAACAATTAAGAAATAATAAACATTTCCCGTAAATGGATAAATATATTAATTCTTCATAAAATATCCCAAATGTGACATAATTCACTGTACAGATACCAGAGTAACACAACACTTACATCAGTCCAACAGCTTTTTGTATGCTATCCTAACTGGGATTCTTTCTGCTGTAATATGACTTAGAACTTGTCCATCATTAATTCCTAAATAAAAATTTCTTTATATCTTTTTACCTCTAATCTCTATTAATGACACACTGCATACGTAGAGTATTAGATTTATTTAATGTTGAGAGTAACAGTACAGTAAAACTGTATGATTACCTAGTGACTTGTTCCTCACCAGCATCTCTCTTAGCTATCCTCAACTACAGAATAATTTTACAAAAGACAAAATAAAAAATCTCATTCTTCACAACGATGTTCATGTTCAACATATATATCTATTTTTTAAAGTGCAGGAGTGACACAGACGATAAATGTTAAGATACAGATCACTATTCAGAAGCAGTTTTTTTATGAGAGTGCTGCAAAAATGATGCCTGGTAGCGAATGCTTTGAAGGAGACAACAAAGCACAATAGCACAGGGAGAGCAAGAGGACATAGCAAACCAAATCACTAGTATTGTTGTTTTTTCTATCATTGGAGGAAAAAGGAGTGGATGGAACCAAAATATTTTCTCTTTTTATTTCTATAAATTGCTGCAATTTGTATCTATCAACTGCAGGATGCAGAAAAAAATAAAATAAAACAAGTAATCATGCATATCTTTAATATTCTCTTGTGTTGCAAAATGGTAAGTAGATTAAAATGTGCATGTGAATGTGAAGCAAGCATTAGGCTCTGGTTTGCCCAGTTAAGCACAGTTTTACCTCTTCTTTTTTTCTGCAATCTGAGATGGTTGTTTGTTTCCATTTTATTGCAAATTTTCTCAGCTTTCCTTTTTAGCTGAAGTAAAATGCTATAAAACAACCCCAAGTAATGCCAAAAGAAAACAAATTGCATCAAACCAAAAGGATGCAGAAGCGTTTTCTCTGTTCTTCTGGTTCCGTGGTGTTTTAAGCAGCTATGTTGTTGGTTTAGTTATTGTTCATGATCCACCAGGAAGCTGAAAAGTAAAGCCAGTCGTTAATGATTTGGTCTCTGTGAGAGCCTTACAAAGAAGCAACACTGAGAAACAGACTTACAATAGTTATGGTAGTATTTGGAAACACCTGCATACAGTGATCAAGATTTGCTCTCCATCCATTCTAGATTTCCAATATCAGAATCAAAGAGGGGACATACAGCTTGCTCACCTCTGGTTGGTGCTTAAAATGTGTAAAACCTCAGTTAATACTTACTTTAAACTTGGTAACAAGGTTGATCAAGCAGGTTCTGAACTTTAACGGTAACATAATTTTCATTGTGTTCAATTGAAACATACTGAAACCTATTTCTTTTACACCAAGGTTTGGTTGCACCTTCAAAATTCCCAGAATGAAAAACCCTAAGGGCAAACAAGCTGATGTTTGATTCAAAATTCTAGAGAAAATAAAACATATTATCTTA